GATAGCAAGTAGCGTAGCCAACAAGAGAAGGACATTAGTTATAGAACGCTAGTAGATTTATACTCAAGACTGACAACGCTCACATTAAGAGCGTACACCAACACGGTTATTCAGATATTTTCTATAGCTTCCTCGAGAGAATTTGTTTTTAAGAGTTTATCATTTTCTAATATATTAATTGGTTTGATACTTCATTACAGAACGCCTGACTTCAGCCAAGGCCATCCGACAAAATTATGTACAAACTTAATGATTGAATACCTTATTTGTTAACTGCAGAATTCTAAGCACACTACAACTGTACAGAAACAAGTCAAACAAGAAATTTGCGATCATTTTATCGTTTTTAATCATCCAGACACCATTGATTAATTTTTCTCAAACTCATTCATGCTTCACCAAGTTTAAACAAAGAAAATCATGACCGTGACGGTATGGATATCTGATCTTAGTTGGCATAGATTTTTACGATTTTGTATTTCCATTTTCCCCTTAGTCAGTTTACTTTCGATTGAGAAGATATATCAAACACTGAAGACAGTGTTTGACCACATTTCCAAACACCTCGAAGATCGTCAAAAATACTCCGCTGCACTTCGTATTTCAACTCTCTTCTCGGTGTTTGGAAATGTGGTCAAACACGGTCTGTCGTGTTTGATGTAATATATCAAACAGGACTCGAAAGACCGTGTTTGACCACATTTCCAAACACCGAGAAGAGAGTTGAAATACGAAGTGCAGCGGAGTATTTTTGACGAACTTCGAGGTGTTTGGAAATGTGGTCAAACACTGTCTTGAGTGTCTGATACATCTTCTCAATCGAAACTAAACTGACTAAGGAGAAAACGGAGAAATAGAATCGTAAAAGACTCTGCTAATTAAGATCAGATATCCAAACACTGTCACGGTCATGATTTCCTTTGTTTAAACTTAATGAGTTTGAGAAATATCAGGTGAAAAAAATTATTGGATGGCCTTGGTTGGCGAAGTCACACTGTGGATGCTTGGCAAGTTCTTACACAGTAAGTATCACGAATAAAACCATAGAACAAACCCGTTCTGCAATAAAGCTGCCTTGGACACCGTCCACACTACACCGGAGAAATTTGAAAACGCAACAATCACTAGTCAGTTAGGCTTTGTGTTTGAAGAAAATTAGGTCAGGAAAATCACATGATTTTCGCGACTTCATCGTTTTCGAAAATTTCCGTCCAGCTTTGCGTTTTCAAATTCCTCTGGTTTGAGGAGCGTTTTCGAGACGGAATAGTGCAGAAGGTAAGCCGCACTGTAGAAACAAAGCTGCGTTTTTCAATTTCTCAGGCGTAGTGTTGACGGGACTTTATGTGAATATCACAACTGGATACCAAAATACATCAATTACTGACACAGTAAACATGTACCTTGAGACGAATCCACCTTCCAAAAACCAATCATTATTATATCGTTATTAATTTTCAGATTATTCCATATAACCAAACTCAGCAGTATTTTAATGGTGTTATAAGACTACGCCATGGAGAAACAAGTGCAGTATTTAACAAGTCCTCGTGCAATCAAAGAATAAAAATAAGAACAAACTGCGAAGGCTGGCAGTTCAACGGCTTGCCGAAGTAAAATACTCCTTTATGACGAAAATTACGTGATAATAAAACTCAAATTGTTTGAGCCCGTGATTGTTGTCAGCACAGTTACTCAGGTACATGGCATCGCTCGTTATCAGACTTCCCTCTCCACTTGGGAACGAGGTTGAGCAGACACAAAAGCTTTCGTACAATTTTAATGTTTCACGGTTTATCTCGCAAAGGACACTCTTGGATTCCACTTGTTTCTCCACTTCGAATGATAAATCCCTTTAAATCCTTGGTCTGTTACAAACGAGTGTGTCTATGTATAATCGTAATTAAATAAAGCCAGTTAGTGTAAAAAGGCAGTCAAATACAAATGCTTCAAAATACTAGGAAACGTGGCCGAGGAGCCAAGAGTCATTAGCTCCTGATGTTACTATAACGGCAATGTTGGCTCATTAACAAGCCTAAATTTTAGCCGTTTCCTCGACGTTATCGATGATTTTTATGAAATCACCAGATGAATATCGGCGTAAATTACAAAATATACTGCACTGCAACAAATTTTCATTCAATCAGCTGATTTTCCAAAAATATACACCGCCCGCGGTCGATCTTGTGTGACTCGCTTACATAAAGCAGTCCGCAAAACTTTAATATAAATATATTACATTGACTACGCGCGATAAAGATATTAACTTGAAGACTTGGTCTCCGTACAAAAAAATTAACGTTTCGTTCTCATACCAAAAAGAAACGAACGAATTATTAAATTATTCTCAAATTCATTTTAATTTCAGCAATCAAATATTGCTTCAAAATAGAAACATTTGCACTTGACTGACAATGCCAATAACGAGACACACTGCTTTGCAGTGTTTGCAGTTTAATGCTACATCAATACTACTTATGCTAAGAATTACATGTAGGTAATCAAAAATTGCGTTGATTTCTGACCTACTTTTGTCCGCGAAGCCCTTTTCGCTTTTCCGTTTTTCTTTATTCCAACAAGCCAAGTAGAGTTTTTGTACGACAAAAACGAGTGGAACATATTTTCTTCATGCGTTTCCCTAAACACACTGTTTAGCGTTGGGTCTTCCTGGAAAGTAAAAGAAAAACGTTTAACAAAGAGTCTCGAAGGCTGTCAGCACCATGTACCAACACAGGAAATCACTGAAAACAGAATTCACTGATAACACCTTAACGCCCCACTCACACTACGTCGGGAAATTTTGACAACGCAGCTTTGCTCCTACGGTTAGGTCTACCGTCCACACTAATCCGTCCCGAAAACGGAGCTTTCCGAAAACGCTCTTCAAACCGGAGGAATTTGAAAACGCCCGCCTTGCGTGTTACCGTGGACAAAATACGTTTTGAAAACGGAGCTTTTCGAAAACGATGACACTGTGAGAATGATGTGACGTCTCTGACAGAGTTTCCTTCAAACACAAATCCAAAATGACCGGTGATTGTTGCGTTTTTAAATTTCTCCGGCGTAGTGTGGACGAAAAACATTTGATTCATTCGTTTTCAGAGTGAAAACACCGTTTTCAGATTTCTTCGGGCGTCGCGTAGACAGGGCGTAAAACTTACAGACATGGCAAAAAAGAACGCAAATATACTTACACTTCCGTAAAGGATACCATCATCCATTATAGATAAATATCTTTGGCTCGTTAAGCCCAAAATCATCAACAAACTCGTTCCCACCGAATGGAACTCTAGGTTACCTGTTGATGAAAAAGACGGCATTGGTTAATGAACGACTATCTTGTCATAATGGGATGGTTGGACGGGGGGAGGGTGATTGTGGGAGAGAGGAGAGGAGGGGGGAGAAGTTTCAACAAGTTTCAGTTTCTCTTGGTTTCAAGTGTCAGTTTTCACTTAGCAACCTTTTATTACATTGTGAGTATAAGATTTCATATCTCAACCAGCTCCTCATAACATGTATATCACAAGCAGTCGTTCTATTTGTTTCCTCAAACCGTTGGCCAGACAATGAAATTTTGCTGCATCTTCGCTTTTAGCCAAGTATATTGCAAATCGCCAATGACATATTCTTGTGGAAGAAAACCTTTCTGTCACGTGGTCTGTGTCAACTTGCTTCCATGTTTGAGGATGTATCATCGACAAGCGGAGGATATGGACTATAAACGAAGGATTCTAAACATTTTGATTATTTTGAGTTATATTGGCCAAGTACAAAATTACATTTAAATTGAAGGAAACCTGAAAATAGTAGTTTACTAAGATAAAAAAAACACCAAAGAGATGAAATAAACCATAAACCATAACAAGGATGGTTAAAAATGGAGAAGATTGACACGGACTAAAATCGACGAACTTGAAAAATTCAGGCTAAACTTTAAATATTTGACGGAAAGAACAAGCGAAATAAAATTCCCTTTGTTTGGCGGATTAGTTCGCTATTACGGGCCCATTTCGACAAACTCATAAACTTCACAGCACTCACCAAACACAGAATTCTTGTCGGTTGTCCCATCTACCGTACCATCACTGTTTATTCTTAGAAGATAACCATTCCTGTTAAATAATTTTCCTCTCCTTACGTAAGTGGGGGTGTTTTTGTGAATGTCTCTGTCAAGACGCGGCACGGGATTGCTTAGTCTCATGTACAACTTGTGTTCGGGTGTTTTGTAGGTCTCTTCCCTTTCGGTGTCATCGTCGGAGCCGCTCGTCATCCACCGAGCGCCCTTCGGCAATTTCTCGACCGGCAGAGCTTCCGATGGATGGAACGTCGAGTGGCCCACACACAGCAGCAATATGAAGCTTAGCACATTTGTCAGTAAAACCTGGAAATTATAAAAAACAAAAATGTTTAGTACACAGTTACACTTTTTCTATTTTGTATAAAGATCTCCTTGAATTCAGATTGTATTGCTTAGGTGCAGCCTAAACTCGCCAAGGTGCCTTCATATTCGGTCCACGATTTTTCGAAAGCGTTGTCTCGCTCTGTCGGTTTGAACTTCACATATATTGTGTAAAATTTTACTCATCTTACTTTCATTTAAGCACACGTCTGCTGAGTCGTTTTTCAATAATAATTATTCATTCATTCATTCAAAGCGATAAAACTAGAGAGAAAAACTCTCAAAAAATTCACCGATTTGTGTAAATTCTAACTTCTCAAAAGTTCCAATGTGGAATGTTTCTAACAACACCGACCTTTATCAACAAAATAAGCGACTACCAAGGTCAGCTGAAAATCATAATAATGTCCTAATACCCAAGGGGGGTTAGAGCAGTGTAGTGTTCTGCAGTTATTTCAAAAGCCTTCCTGTTTTATAAAGACAAAGGGTTACCGAGTTCAATAGAATGTTTGTGGTCTTGGGTTGTTGGAAAATGTGACCTCTTTCTTATTTTCCTCTGGTAAAACGTCGTGCAGGGCAAGGGAAAAACGAGAGAGAAACCATAACTGGGCGCTATTCTCTCCTGCGCTTATACTCTTCTAGTTTAGACGATTAACGAAGGATAAAACAAGAATTCAAAATGGCTTTATCGTCACCTGACTATTATCTGTATATGTGAAGTTCAAACTGGCAGAGCGAGACAACACTTTCGCAAAATCGTGGAGCGAACATCAAGGCATATTGAGGTGTTTAGCCTGCAAGCAATGCTTCTACAAAGAGTCTCTTCTTCAAGGGAGGTGGCGCGGGGCAAGTCTCTACATGGTACTGCAGGGATGCTCGTTGCATGTAGACATCGCCCTTAGCTTTTTTTTAGTCTTGCATCAATCTACCCTTCTGCCGTTAAATTTCTTTACATATCTGTCACTTTTGTTGTTATAACTACAGTGCATTCTAGTATTAATTAATTCAAAAGAAGGGCTGTTTTTGTCAACATTTTGCACACAATTTGGACAAATATTGGGTGCTTACCATTTGTCAGAATGAACCTTTTGGGATGACCGTCAGCAATCAACACAACTGAATGAGATGACGTTTCACCATTTGCAATTCGATTTCTCATAATTGTTTTCGGCTGATGAGAGACTGGAAACTGGAAAATTTACCAAATGGTAAGGAAATTTCCGTCATTCCGTTCCGAACGGAAAATAAGGACTACCTCTGGAGGTAGTCTACAACTTCCAAACGGATTTTCCGGAAAAGTACTGTTCCATTTGACTTTCAACCGAAATTTAAGGATTTTTTTGCTAAATGGTAAGCACCCATTAACGCCTGGGCGGTTTTCAAAACGCCTCCTCGGAGCGCCTGGGAAAGAGCTGAGTAGCCACGCATTTGGATCCCAAACAACACAACGCCTGGCGGAAAAATGTTTGATAGGAAATAAAACGTATCACATTTACAGGTCTAACTAAAATCTTAAGTTCGAATATTACTGTTGCGTTTTCCCAAATGAAGCATCTGTCAAGTATAGTTCCGCTAATTATCATATTTTGACATTTCCCAGACGAATATTCCAGCTGGAGATCTAGAGTACTTTTCAAGAAGTTCCGTCCATTCAGGAAATGTTTTGCACATCACACCACAAAAACAACTGTGCACATGCCAAGCTTACCCAAGCACATTTAGAATCTTGATCAGCGGTGTAACGTGACAAAACAGCCAAGGTGTGCGTGAGAAATGGAAAGACAGACAATGTTTACAAATATATTCGTTTTTATTTGCATCTCCGGCCTTGTCTATTGTATAAGCGAATGGGAAAGAATTTCACTACTTTCGATAAGATCAGAGGCTTTTAGAAGTTTATGCTTCTAATTATAGAATTACAGATAAACCAGATTGAAAATGTTGAGATTTTAATCTCGTAGTGTTAGTGATAGTGGATTTGCTGTTACGTAATTCAAGGAAATAGGATTTGTTTTGCTTTTCGGCTACATCACGTTATCACAGCACTAAGACGTCCACATTTGCTTAATTAGTAATGGCCCGCAAAAGCACATACAAGGTTCATGTCGGCTCAGTTCTCCTTGAATGAGAAATCCAAATCAAACTCCCCGATGTAAATTACAAATATTATGATTTCCAACTGCGGAGGTCTTTAATTTCTTCAAAAACATGACCAATATCATCTTTATGAAATCATGACATGACGAAAGTTTTCATAATCACATGACGAGTTTTTGAAATTCCTTGTTCTTTCAAGCTCTTGAAGCTGCGGTTATATGATTGATGCGCACGTAAATCGTACAAATGTCTTCCGGTCTAATAGTAAATAATGTTAGTTGTTCTTGACATCAGCAACGTATAATTTGCGAGTTCGAACGAAATTCGAATTTATAATTATGACTTAGAAAATTGCCTTAATTGCGATCAGTTGGCCACTAAGTAATCACACCACATCTAAGTATTTTCTGGCATCGTGCATCCAGCCGGCAATTATTGATTCGTTTAAAACATTACCGTGAAAGAGGCGTTACACTGCACTGTCGATAAATGATGTACTGGAGAAAAAATAACATGAAGTTCGGCGACATTGTTATTCATTCAAAAACATTATGTTTCCCGGCGGGATCTCAATTTTCCATTCAAATTAGCATCGTTGCAATTAAAAAAGTTCAATAGCTCTCGTGAATGGAAAGACTGACTAGCACAAAATACGTAAAACTGATTAATAAAACATAAACATAAGCTTAGTTCGAGAGAATTTTTCCCTTCAACAGATGCACTGACGGGCATCGTGTTTGAATTAACTAAATCAACCACTGGCATAGATTGTTTGAAAAGCCTTTGACAGTTCAGGCTTATAAACAACGAAACAGTCAAAATGCCAGGCATCCAAAAAATTAGTTGTTGTATTCAATGGGCCATTTTTTCACGCCAGTGAATGTTGTTAATTTTAATTTAATACTTGCTAGTGCGAGAACACATAAGTACTGAGTTCAGCAATTATCCAAAATCCAAATTTGCCTCGCTAACTTTTACCGATTTGATATCGAAGATAGAATTTACCGAGAAAACTATCGGGAACTTTCCTCGGGTTTATTCCGAAACCAGCTTCTTAAATTGCATGGCAACGAACTGATTTTGGCTGTCACGAAAACATTACGTTTACGTCCGGCAAGGAATTCGACAGACCCCAGACAGGACAGAGCAGGTGAAAAACTAAACACAGTATTACCTATTCGCCGCTTGTCCGTTCTTTGACAGCCTCAAATTTTAAGGAATTTTGAATAAGAAGCCATTAAAGGCCGATATGTTTTTAAGTAAATAGGAAAGCGCGTGAACCACGAAAATCATCAGCGCATACGCACGTGCATGCTTAGATTTCACTACCATTCAATTCGACCCACCGAAAATTTTAGAAAGCTACGACATGTAAAATTTACCTCCAGCTGAGCGTTCGAAGGCGAAAAAATCGTTACAAGTTATTCTTCTTGAGGCCTAGATGTGATTTAGCGGCAAATTATGCCTCCTCAAAAGAATTTCATTCATGAATTTCGTGGGCGCTCAGTGTTTGTATACAGACAACGCAAATTTACTACAAATAACCAGTCGGCCAAAACTACACGAAATTCAACGTATTTTATAACGTGATTTTTCTTTGTTCGAGCTTAAAACGAGTCAAATGATAACGTACTACTTAATACACGTCAATTTGCTCTGTTTGATACTCTTTATGGAGAAATACAGGGGAATATTTTCTTTCTTAGCGAGGTACACATTTTTAATTGGCGGTTGCACACGTCAGACTGAACTTCGAGGAACTAACTTAACGTATTTGTAGTTTTAGATACAAGTCCTAAATCCTTCATATATACTAGTCAAACCTCACCTTGTACATGCTATAGGTCACTAGATCCTGAAAATTGATCTACCCAGGAACATAGCACTCACGACACGCCATTGAAACGAAGTTTATGAATACTGTAGCATCGATCGGAAGTACGTCGGGGCCGATCAACGGCGCATCCCGATAATTACTGCCGCCCACACAGGCTGATTAAAGATTCGGCGGGAAAAGCGTAGGCTAAAGTTTCTTTTCTCTCGTTCCGAGAATGATTATTGAGCAAACAAAATGTTTAATAAGCCAAGGATTTAAAATAAAGGTAAAGAATCGTATTTAGAATCTTTAGAAGCATCTAACAACTTTGGCGGGATTTTCCCGCCAATCCCGAGGACCGATGACGCAATTGCACAGCGGAGATCCCCACAACAATAAAATATTTCATATACGTACACTAACATTCTATCAACACTTAATTTCAAGAGAGAGTCTTCCTCCTTAAATTCTTAACAAATCCTCTCAGCTGCTTACTTAGAAACTGCAAGAAAGCTGTCAACTTGTCGCTTGTTACTTTCGTCTCTATAACTACACACCCACTACGCAAATATTGCAATAATCCTGCATAATTTGAAAACTCCTCATTGATTTCGGTGTAGAGCTTGTGCTTTCTTAGTTAAAAGGTGTATTTACTCTAAAACACACGCGCCATATTACTGAATAGTTCGATACTAGTAATTTCGTCCGTTTAGATCCTTGTTTTGGTTTGTCTTTCTAGTCCACCAGCTAGTTTACGTTTTTATTAGAAAGAGCTATTGCGCAATCGGAAACTTACGAAATAGCTAAAATTATGCTCCTAAAAATACTCGAAATAGGATTTAGACACCTTGACGTAAAGAAGCATTTTTATAGAACTGGAATACGTAAACTCCGTCCTCGTCAGTTGGAAAACAATCTTTTATAGTTCATTCGGATTAGTTTAAATAATATCTGGTTTTCTAAGGCAACGGTGGGATAAGCAGAAAATTAGTTTGAGTCACAGGGCATGCTAAAAAAATAGTCCTTTAGGAAATGACAAATTGCGTCAGCCATAAATCTTGGGATAGTAAAGAAGTTGATCCGCCTGACAAAGACTTTTAACAACGTGTTCCTCCTCAATAATGAACACCTGTTATAAAACATGTGGATCGGCCCCCGCTATCATGCACATGTTTTCCATGTTGTTCCTGTTTGTCTTACTGTGTTGAAAGACAAAACATCTTTATGAACTGAAAACTTCCTGCAGAGATTATCCGATTTTGACTGAGATTGCATCAGGTAAGCTCTCCTGCTGGAATTCAGATTATAAGCCAAGACAGAGTTCATACTCGGTCATAATCACAGCAGTGATCAAATCGGGAAAAAAAAGTTATCTTGCCACGCCTCGAAAAATAAGTCCTCCGGAGGCATTGGGCACTACGATGACCGAAACGAAATATAGTTGAAACAGAGAAACGGAGTTTTATTTTCTTTTTTTGGTTTTATTTTCTTCGAAAGTTTGCCTTTCTTACCAGCTTCAAAAAATATAATGCAAGCAAATTTAGGATCACATCTCGTGAAAAACACAAACGATCGGCTGAGGAGTTTGTAATGTTACCAGTCTGACAAATGACCATAAATGGTGCTAGAAAAATAAAGTCTTTATACTTACGACGTTGAGGAAGGTAGACGTCAGTTTGCATCGTTGAATAGAAACCGGTAGTGTTCATCATAGCTTTGTCACTTAGCTTAAGATCCGGCGGAAACTGGATATAAAACCGCAGCTCTTAAGGTACATGAATCATGATAGATGATCTAAATGACTTTATGTATTTAGTTCATATTGAGCACCGACTGTTGCTTAGCTCTACGTCAGATATACGAAAGCAGTCAAATTGAATGCTTTGAAAGTCTCTGAGCAACACGTTTTTGTGTTCAGATATATGAGTCGGTGGAAACAGCAGACTATTTTTACGCTGAACGTTTACATAACAAAGTATGGCTTAATATTTGTTTACCAGTTTTGAAGAATAGTGGCACGTTTCTGGGCGCCTAGGCTGACGGGTCGCTAACTGTGAAATTGTTGGCATCTATGTGTTTCAATATAGGGTGCATTTATTTCCTTGTTTAGTTCAGTACGTAAAGGCTGAAATTTTGCTAGCTCATTCTGTCCAAAAATAAGAAACGTAATGATCCTTATTTTAGTACAGGAGTGACGGGGAATGATTCGAAATCAATTAAACGGTATAATTTTCTTACGTCACTCGTGCCGTTGATATAATAGCGCCGCCGGATCAGACGCGGAAATTTAAATACCTGATTCTAAGCAAAATCGAATTTCAATTATCTTGTTTTCTAAGGAATGTCGTTTTCTAAAAGTGTTCTGATTAATCCGTAACTTAATGTTTCTTTATCTATTTAAAATGAATGATTACTGCCCTTTAGCTGGACTGAGCTACAGTAAAATTTCTTATCAGCGGCATGACAGAGAACAGACACGGGTTCCGCGTTCGTGTTTGTTCCCAACCCTCTTCTCTCCCCCAGTCTTTCCTTTTTTTTCACTCTTTTTCTTTTTTCCCTACCCTCCCCTTCCTCATCCTTGTCCTCTCGCCTTATCCATTAGCTGCTGCTACGCTTGCTATGTCAACAGAAGATGAAAAACAAAATTCCTTGGTTTTGTGGTCAGTCCAAAACAACTCTAAAACTGAAGAGGCAAGTTAAAGAGGCGACTTAAGTGAAAACCACAAGAGGAAAAAAGGACAAACGACCACGCCAAGATATTGTAACAATTGGACCAGTATTCACAAACCTTTGGTAATAAAAAAAAAAANATTACCTTGTTATAATGCAAAGTAGACTCATCTACTGTCTGCAATCATTGATTGAACAATAATATTATGTTACGATCCATCACACATTGTTCTGTTTTCTAAGTTGGGTACAAAGTGGAATTACAAAAAAAAAAAAAAAAAAAGGAAGCCAGCAACGAAACGCGACTCCTTAAGCAACATCAAGAAGTCTTAAACTTCACTTCAGATAAGTTTAAAACATTTCCGTAAATTATTGAAATGCCGCTCGGAAGTGTTATATATGGTGTTGTCTGCGAGTGATTCTGCTCTCACTAACACCATGCACGTTCACATCACGCAATTAAAAATCAACGCAGTTTGTAAGCAAAAAAAAGTGTGGCAAAAAATCTGCAAGAAGTAGTTTAGTATTCGACAAGGTTGAAGCCCTCACTTGCTGTTCCTCAGGCCCTCCCCGTTCATTTCCAACCGGCACTGCAGCAATGCTGCCCATCTTGGGTTGCATGAATAAGAAACGTCGGTGAGTTTGAAACCAGCAGTGCGCATTTTCAATATCGATGAAGTGTTTTAAGATGTAATTAAAATCATTAGTTAACTTTGTTCTGTCTATCCGCCATGACTCAGCTATATCATAAGCAGACGGAGTAAAATTGTAAATTGGCAACTTCTTCATCTAAGTTCTTCTCAGCTTAGTTCTTTCTTCAAGGATTTAATTTGAGAAGCGCAATTTCGGTCTAGGCTGACCATTGTCAAGCTAACACAAGTTCAAATAAAAATGCACCTCAGGATTCTCTGTGCCCAAGTCAGATTTGCTTAGATGCACAAATTTGCCTTGTAGGTACTGTTAAACGAAATTACTCATTTCAGTAACCGTGATGTCGAGATGAGTCTTGTTAGGAAACATATCTTGAGAGTGAACGGGAGCGAAGATTAATTTAAGGGCTCGGGTAAAGGATTCATGAATAAAAGAGGTGGTAAAGGGTATATGTGACATGTGATGAGGGCAAAATAAGTGTGTAACGCGTGAAAAGCAACTCAAAGACATACCTGACACGTGAGTTTATGAACACACATTTGTGAAAAACAGCTAAAAGTATATTTAACGCGTGAGTTTTGATTCATTCGAGCGTGAAATGAAACAAGATCACGCCCCCGTCTCCGCCCCTTTGCTGCCCACAAATAACAAAGCATTTCATTGGGTTGTGCGAGACCATATGTTCATTCCTAATTGAGTGGTTTCTCAAGTTGTTATGACGGTTTATTGTTATTAGTTAGGCTACAGATAGCCGTCTTTGAAGCAAGCAAAATAAAACTTATGAGTGAAACTATAAAATAGAAACTGGATTAATTACCAGAGCAAATCTCGGTCCGAATTGACAAGCCTTTCAAGAAAAGAATTTTGTTTGACGATAAAGATCTTTCAATGTAACAAGCCCTATATGTTTCGCAATTTCTCGCCTTAGGCTAGGTTAATATTGGTTATTATTTACCCAGACTACGTCACGAAAAATGTTCACCAATATTCACTACACCGCCACATGACACGAATAATTACTGCAGTGTAATTATCGGATGGTCAATTGCTTGTTGAAGCATTTAACAAGAGATATTAAAAGTCACGCGATACAACGTTTCGACGCATCCGGCATCATTACTCATATCAAGGATGAAAATTCGTTATATGTCAAAGTTGTTAAAAAGAGTCGAGTTTTTGATATGTTGAAAATCATTAGATGACAATTCAGGTCAGTTCCTGACCGCGTGATTGTAGGCAAGAATGCTAATAGATAGCTGGCTAAAGCTTTCCGCGAATCGAGTCAGATTGCACTTTTAGTGATGGCTTGAGCTCTGGTATAAACAACATTTCGTAAACAAGACAGTCAAGTATAATTTTCAAAGCTGAACATATAAAGCACAATTTAACAAGCTGAAAGACGTGCTTTCAAGCATTATCTGTCTTAGCTAGCATTGCTTGCTTACATACCGTGTAGTTATGCAATTCAAGAGTTTTCATTGGCTTAGCTATCATGGTATATGAGCAATTACAATGATGCTCTCCAAATATAGTAAATGAACGCGTAATTTTGGGGGCGTTTTATTTTTATTTTATATGTATTTTTTTTATTTTAGTTTCTATATTTTGGGTGTGTTTCTAATAAAACAATTATTCTACTCACGGTTGTTGGATATGAGATGTTTATAGCCATGCAGCTCTCGCGCACCGTCAGAAGACCAGAAACTGCAAGGGACCGCATACGATAAACGCTACCAACGTAGGATCTACTAGAGATCTGATCAGCCAAAAAAATGTATGAAGACAAACAATAGACTGCAAGACCTATATAATGAACCAGTCATTTTGCAATTTATGTGCGTTGGCTGTTGGGCTGGCGTTACATATCTTCGTTACACAGTGCTGACGAGCCCCAAGAAGGGCGAAACAGCTGTCCA